ACCCCTAAACCCCCCACACCTCCCTTGCCCCCTGCACCCCCCCCACTCCCACACCCATGCCTCCCTCAGCTCCACCCTCCTCCCCACTGGCACGTCTGTGTCTGGTTGTGAGTTTCTTGAGGTCGGAGAGCAGCTCTTCCTTGTCACAATTCCTGCGTCTGGCTGTGGCCCTGATTGTCAGCCGGACCGTCGTGACGAGCACTGGTCTGCTGTGGGGACGTTGGAGTTCTTACCTGGCTTCGTTCGTTCCTCAGGTGCTCACACACCCCATCCTCCTCCTCCCTGGTTTCGGGGCCCGCTGTCGCGCCGAGCGGAAGAGCCCGGCTGTGGGGAGCACTGTGAACTAGGAGCGGCCCTTCATCTTTGGCTCCCTGACCCCTGCCCAGGAGCCCGCTCCCCCTCCCAGCCAAGGTCCTGTTGAGGTCAGTGGGAGCCGGCGCAGACTATAGGGGACAGCAGCCCCATAAGGGACGCCACCCGGCCCGAGCCCAGGAGGTTCGGCTCCAGCTCTGAGCCCCAGTCAGTCTTCAGGGAAGTCTGGGAGCACAGACGGGAGTGGGGCGGGGTGGGCAGAGAGTAGATGTTTTTTTTGAAAACTTGGTCCAGACATTTATGCACTTTGATTAGCGGGGACAAAGTTATCCTGTAATTAGATGTACACGCGCATACTACCTGTGTCAGTTCGTGTGTACACATGTCAGTGTGACGTGCCGGGAACTGAAAAACAGCCTCGAGGAACTGAGGTTTAAGGAGCAGCTCGAAGGATTAAGGGGTTTCGAAGCGCAGCTTCAGCAGGCCCAGCGGCTTCGAGGCTGCAGTTGCCACGGCGACGTAGCGAGAACGGAGAGAACGTTTACAAGTCGCGGTCACGGCCTTTTATTTTCGTGCTGTTCTCACCTTCGCTTTTAGCTCAGAGAGGATCCGATGACTTGTTTAATATCAGGTCGCACCTTTACGGGCAGATGGCCTTTCCTCCAGCCAGGGGTGTGGGCTTAATGACATGAGTTTGCGTTTTGCGGGGTTTCCCCATCTTTCCATGGGGTGGGGCCATGAGTCCCTTTCAGGGTCCCGAACCCCTTGGACCCCCGTGCTCAGTGCTCTGCTCGACGGGTGTCCACATTCACGGGCGTAAACACTCAGTATCGTTTTAAGGTGGCTGCTTCCGGTTTTCTGTGGTGGTTGTTGCTGCTACTGCTGTCAGTGTTATTATTAAGGCCACGGAGAACATTCCATCTGTTCTTAGCGCCGCGGGGCAGGGTTCTCTAAACTCCGTGCCCTGGAACACTCACTAGGAAGACCCGCAGTGGCCCGATACATTTGCTGAGCTCGGGCGGCCAGGAGCTGCACGTGCGCACTGAGACAGCGTGGGGCCCAGCAGCGGCCAGGGGCTGACATCGCCACGGGGCTGAGCCCACGGGCTGTGGCCGGAGCCTTCTGGTTGCTGTGCCCTCGTCGTTGGTCCACGTCTTGCCTCTCCACTAGGACTGCGCGTTCGTTGAAGGCGAGACTCGTCATATTTTTCTTTCAAGCCTGACAGCACTTTGCACAGAGCTGAGTCCACAGGTGGGGGACGCCGTCCCGTGGTGCTGGGGACACCACAGTAGGACGTGGCATGGGAGGGTCAGTGGAGGGATCGGGCGGACGTTAACCTGTTACCGAGCGAGCCCCACGAAATGTGGCAAAGTAGTAAAACCACATTTGCATATTTCCTTGATACGGTCGCTTTTTAAAACATGGCAGCTTCTTCTGCTCACTTTGATGTCTGGGAGGAATTCTCTCGGGCATTAAAAGCGATCGCCAAGCCCCGTTCAGGAGGAGAGCGTTTTTGCGAGAGCTCCGCTCCGCGTTTGCCGCAGCGCGGGGGACACCTGTGTTTGTCTCCTCCTCGTTCCCGAGAGAGGTTGATGGGTGACCCTTCTCCTTCTCAGGGGCTGCAGAGAAATTCCCCAGGCGACGTGACTCCCATGGGAGGCTGTCCGAGGTGAACTCAGGACCCCTTTAAGTGGGGGCACGATACTTATGTCAGGTGTCGTCAGATACTTTAATTTACTTGTGATGCAGCCCACCGCCTCCTGCCTGCTTCCCCAAGGGATGTGGGACAGTGACAAAACTCATGTCAGAAACCAAATCATTTTCCCATCAGTTTGGAATGCTCACTGTGAAGCTCTGAAAAGGGTTTTTTAAAAATGGGGAGGTGGGTCTGCTTATTGTAGAGCCTGTGGGGACTTTGGGTGGGTCCTCCGCGGTGGCACGCCGTCGTCGTGAGGCGCTCGCGGGCCTGTGCCTGTGAGGCCTTGGACCTCAGGCCGCCTGATCTGTGTTCCCAGCACCACGCTGCCTCCTTTGGTGTCACCTGATCATTGTGGTTACCTGGTTCAATGCGTTTTACGTTAACGATTGAAAAGTTATTCAAAAGTACCAGGCAGGCAGTTTTGTTCTCCTTAGATCTGCATTTCTCAAGGGGTGGTCCTAGGGCTGGCCATCTGGCCATCGGTCACGGTCACGAGGGTGGGAGCTCATTAAAACGCACATTCCTGGGCCCTGCCCCCACCCACAGCGCTGGCGTCTCTGCATGGGGGAGTCGCCTCTCTAAGGGGGGCCCCTGTGCATCTGGGAAGTGCAACTGAGGGTCCCCAGGAGCACAGCTCCGAAAGGCTCCCGGAGGCAGTGTTTTTGCTGTCGCACGCGTACTATCTTCTGGGAATGGGCGCATCGTCACGCGGAGGGTCCCCGCCCCTGACAGCTGCATCGGCTGACGCGGCCGGGCACTTGGGACCCACCAGGTGATTTCCTGGGGTCACTTTCCGGTATCCTGGGAGGAAACCGATATCCCACTGCTTCCTCCTCAGACAAGGGGCGACAGTTCCCGACCCCCACGTGCCCCACGGGTCCCCGAGCCGGTCCCGCAGCAGCCGGGCCCTCCCGCTGAGCCGGCTCCTAGACCGGCTGTTGCCCGTCCCTCCTCACCGCTCGGCGGTTCCACCTCGAGCCACATATTTCTCCTCCTCAGATGTTTGCAGGCCGAGCAAATCCCGAGAAGTCCCACGAGAGCTGGGGGCTCGTGAGGAGACAGGGAGCCGGGTGGGGGTGGGGGGGATGCGCGTCGGAGGGACCGGGCGTGCGGGCGCTCCGTGCAGGGGGCTCCGCCAGGCCGCAGGGCTTCAGATGCGCACCAACCACGTCGCCCGCAGAGCTGTCCTCTTCCTGCTCCTCCGGCCCTTTCTTTCCTTCTGGCATTGTGCCCCCAACCTCAGGATGGCAAGTGCGTGAGCACACGCCCCGCCGCCCGCAGCCCCCAGCCAGGT